CTACCAACATCCTTGCATTTGTTTTTATATCCTGTCTCTCTCACTCTATTCTTTCCCAGTCGTTCGCTTTGTTCGACAAAATTAACGTCTATAAAACAGGAATGAGGATATTGAACTGTCGTCTATGCTTTGTGTTGTCCCAAAACAGCGGAGTGCGGAAAAAAGTTTTTGGCAAAGAATTTTGTTGACACGTTTTGTGTCTCCGAAGATGACGAAGAAAAACAACAAAAACAAACAAAATGAAATTTAACCTTTTGCTTGGTGTAGGTTTCGCACTCCTACATAGATGTTAGTTTGATTTTTGTTCTTCTTCCTCAATGGGTATTTTCTTTCCTTGTTTTTGTTGTCCAAACAAACAAAAAATAAAGTTGTATAATAACAATTTCCATTATCAACACTTGGTCTTTTGTGCATATTTAAGTTAGTAGCCTTGTTTGTTCTTGTTGTTGTTGTGGTTATTCTGTTGATGTTGTGCTGGTTATTATTCCAACATATATGTACGCCTCTGTTATTATTTTCCTAATGTAATTAGTTAGAGGAGCCTTCTTAAGCCGATGCTTTTATGCGAGGTCAGTAAGTAGTTAAGTTAAATTAATTTGAAAAATCGGCGTAATCCAATGTGAAACTAATACCAAACTAATTCATTGGGATAAGATCGTGGAGGATGTAAATAACTTAATGTGTTTCACACATAATAATAAGATGTCCCTTCAAAATGATCTTTTATAAGTTTTGAAGTACTTGTCAAAGAATATTAAATGGCAATTTTCGAATAGTGTTACAAAATCTTCTCCTAAAGGATTAGAAGGTCATGTTAAGTTCCGAAGTGTCGTTTTGCAACGAATAGTTTTTTCATTGAAGAAACATTGGGAAGAATATACCCTCCACCCTAAGGAGGAATGAGGGCACGTGTTTAGATCAAATTGACTGTATTTGGATCTCATTAAGTGGAAAGTCTCCCTACCAAAAATTACCCCCTATTATTCGGTATTTTGGGGTGTTTGTACATGTTTTTCATCCTAATAAGCCGTAATTTGGGTTCTCACTGTGTAGAGAATTTTCCTACAAAGGTAGCCCCATACAAAATTGGCTTAAATTTGATATTTTAAATTCTTATTCCGTAAAAAATACCTCTACCAAAAATTAGCATAATAGTTCCAAATTTCCTGCGAACCCCCATAGAGCGGCATCCCCCTTTGATACTTTATAGCTTTTGGGCGCGTTATTCAAACTGATAGGTTCTTATTTTTTCAGTTTCTCATGGGGTGTCACTTATCGGTTCACATTTAGGTATAGCACCCATATAACGGTACCAATCGATTTTCGGTATTTTGAAAGTTTTAGTCTAATTTTCCCCATCCATATGACTGTAATTTTGTATAAAGAAAACTTAAATGCTGATATCTATATATGGGTACTTCCGTGGTCGCTTACACGATTTTCGGAGGCGAAATAAAAAAATTTTAAATAAATCAAACACAATAATTTTTATTTTTCAAATTTTTTTAGTTTTTAAACAATTTGACTATAATGTGGCATATCGGATACTTTCCTAGAAATTAGCCAATAAAGGTTAATGTCTTAAAATAGCCCCCATACAAATGTCCGGTTTAGTTTTCGGTGTGTTCTACCGCAGTTTTTATACCCCCACCACACTGTAGTACTGGGTATTATGCCTTTGTGCATATGTTTGTTAGGAGTTTTTGAATATACACCACACTATAAAGTTTGATCCGACCGAGCTTTATAAGTATTTTACAGATGCTATGACATATTTTTACCACTGGCAATAATACTTTTCGCATAAAACATAGGGAAAATGCGTCACAGTGAAATCGATATTAAAAAAAGTGCTAGGTCACTTTTTTGGTGCTAAACTTAAAAAGTGCTAAATCTATGTTTGTAACAGGCAATGGAAACGAGTTAGACACATGGTTCCTTTTGAGAAAATGCATAGAATCACTTTCTGAGTCGATTTATGCTTGTCCGCCTGTCTGGGTTACGTAGGAGATGATAGATACCAAGCGACGGCTCTGATTGGCTTTACAGGCTTACGTGAAAAACGCAGGGTATAGGGCAACCCTGCAGACAGTAGCAACACGTAGTGTGAGAAAGAATTTTCGGGAAAAAAGAAGAGAGAACAAGAAAAACAAGAGCGTGCCCAAATCGAGATGTGCAGGAGTCAGAATGAAGTCCGGGAATTTTACCAACGTGTAAAACACCAAACCGAAGGCTTTAGTGCAGGCACATCCTCCTGTAGAGATGGAGAAGAAAACCTGGTGACAGATACAGACAGCATGTTGAGGATCTGGAAGGAGCATTTTGAAAAGCTTCGGATATCAAATAGTGGCGGTGAGTGGCGGTGAAGAGGATGCCCCAGAACCAATAAGAGATGACGGTATAGAGTGTATAGCACCTAGCCAAGATGAGGTCAGAATGGCAATCAATCGGCTGAAGAATAATAAAACCGCAGGTGTCGATGGGTTACCAGCCGATCTATTCAAGACTGGTGATCAGATGCTGGTAAGAAGAATGCTCCAGCTGATTGGTATAATTTGGCTAGATGAATGCAATGCAATGATTGGGACCTCAGCCTCATGAGTCCCGTGTGCAAAAAGGAGACAAGACGATGCCAACTATGGAGGAATAATTTTCCTTCCCATCGCATATAAAGTGCTATCCAGTGTGCTGTGTGAACGATTGAAGCCAATGGCCAATGGCATCATTGGACCATACCAATGCGGCTTCAGACCTGGCAAATCCATCATTGACCAGATTTTCACTCTGCGCCAAATCCTGAAAAAGACCCACGAAAAACATATCGACACATACCACCTATTTGTCGACTATAAAGCCCATTTGACAGCCCTATCCGTTCAGAGGTGTTTAAAGCCATGTCTGCGTTTGACATTCCCGCCTGTCACCGTGACAGTTTGTCGTATGATATTTTTAACATCCTACTGGAAAAGGTCATAAGAGACGCAAAGACCACGCTGATGGTATCAACGCGCAAGACGTCCAGTAGACTCGGACCAACTGTGGAATTGAGAAATACAGGTAGGTTAGTTAAAGACCTTATATACCTTGGTACCGCCATTAATAAAATGAATGACATCAGTTTTGAAATTCGGATGCTACTATGGTCTGAGCAAACAACTTAAAAGCAAGGCCACCTCCCACCAGACCAAACTCACACTTTACAAGACGCTGATACTACCCGTGCTATTCTATGGATCAGAAGCATGGGTACTTGCGCAAGCAGATGAGGCAGCTCTTGGGGTATTTGAAAGAAAAATTCTCCGAAAGATCTAAGAGCCGATCTGCGTCGACGGTGAATATCGGCGTCGAATAAACAACGAGCTCTACAATTTATACGCGGACATCGACATAGTCAGTCGTATTGAGCTTCAGCGACTACGGTGCTAGGCCATGTTGTGCGGATGCGTGAGAATGCCCCAGCTCAAATGGCATATAAAAACGAGCCTACTGATGGTTCCCGTAGAAGGGAAAGGCCACGAATTAGATGGAAAGACCAAGTAGAAAACAACATCTTGGAACGTGGTCTTCCAAATTGGTGTATGTGCGCACAAGACTGACGCGCTTGAAAATCTCTTTTAAGCTCGGCCGTTCTGTAACAAGCCAGCTAAGTAAGTAAGTAAGATTTAAAACAAAATTTACACACGCTGTTTGGTATGCTTCACTGTTTAAAATGTAATATCAATCAGGTACCCATTTATTATTTGGTGTACAATAAACATGAATAGGTCGAAATTATATATGGAAGCTAAGCTATATCTAAATAGGGACTTTGGAGCTCCATTAAAATAAAATCGGACGAAAATATGTATGGGAACAATATCTAAATCTGAACCGATTTTTACGAAACTTAACATACGCAATTCTAGACTCAATTCAGTACACTATGCAAAATTTCGTGCAAATCGACAAATATATAGGAACTTTGGTGCATCATTTACATAAAATCGGACGAAAATATATACGGGAGCTATATCTATATCTGAACCTATTTTCATGAAACTTAGCACACAACATTCTCTATGCCAAATTTTGTGCAAATATAGGGACTTTGATGTCCCATTTACCTTTAATCGGACGAATATATATATATATATATATGGGAGCTATATCTCAATCTGACCCGATTTTCCCGAAACTTGACACACATCATTCTGGGCCCAATTTAGTCTCCTATGCAAAATTTCGTGCAAATCGAAAACTATATCTAAATCTGAACCGATTTCCACGAAATTCAGCACGTATCATTCTGCACTTAATTGAGTGCGCTATGCCAAATTTCGTGCAAATCGAAAGATATAGCGGGGCTTCGATACACCATTTACCTTAAATCGGACGAAAATATATATGGGAGCTGGGTATATACAATATATGTTCCTAAGTTTTTTTATTCCAACAGACGTAGCATGGTTGATACACGGGTCTTTCATGCACCATTTCATTAAATCGGACTAACACATATTGGATGTATTGGACCTATATCTAAATCTGAACCGATTTCAAATTTTCGCATACTGCAATTTGTACTTAATTCAGAAGCTGTGCAAATCTATGTTTTAATCGGACAAACATTGTGATTTGGGTGAACTATTGTAGAATCTGACAAACCTGTATAACTATATCACAATCTAAAGCGATTTTCTCCAATCAATAAGGTTCGTCCTTGGGCCAAATAACGAGTTTACATGGATGGTCATGCATAAATCGACTCAAAAAGTGATTCTAAATATTCTAAAAAATAAACATGAGTCTACTTCATTTTCTTTTGTTGTTTTACAAACAAATACACAAAGACATAATATCCTGTACCACAGGGTGGTGAGCAGGTGTCTTATGTACCTAAGGCTTAACAAAATAATTGAATTATTTTCAACAAAGATTCCTTTAAATTCATTTGCCTCATTTGAACTGGACTAAAATCTTAAAATATTTTCATAATTTAAAGCGAACATTTCCATACTCACCAAAAGCTGCCATTATACCAAAAATTCGTATCAGCGGCTTTAGACAATCACAAGGTTCGCCAAACTGTCGTCGTCGCCTTTGAAAATGTGACATATTGCCAAAATGTGTCTCCCAATGTTGGCCAGGGTAAATGGTATTGCAAAAATGACTGGAAGGCTGGCCGACTGGCTGTTTAACTCACAGAGACTGGCTAGCTGGTGTTGGCCCGACTTGGCCTTTTCAAGGCCTATTGGTGTTGATGTCTTGCTGCTGCTACTACAGCTACTGCTGCACTATTAATACTAAATGTACAGACACTGACAATGAACACGTTGAAAACTTGTGATTTGTTGTTCAGACTTCAAGAGTTGCCCGGTTGAGACTTGTTTTTGTTCCGTATTTTTTTTTTCTTTTTGGGTTCTATATAAATAGTTTTTATTATATATGTATTTCCTAGTTATTTAAAGTCCAAAATACACGCACTCATATTGGCATTTGGAGCACATTCATATTCTCATAGTATAAGTACACTTGACCCCCGGCGGGCACAGGCAGTACCATTAACATTCTTTTAAATGTTCCAAGTTTTTTTGCTGCGTTTTTTGTTCGTTGTCGTCTTCTATTCAAGTCTCTGGAGTCGCCAAGGCAAAAGACTGGAAGTAGGAGATTTATAATTTTATTATTACAAGTACATGTCTATGCATGAGTGTGGAAGTGTTTTGTTTGTTTGTGTGTGTGAGTGAGTGTTATCCTGTCCCAGGATAATAAACCATCGCAGTTGTGTGCTTTGTTATTTTGGTGTTGGTGTTGTTGTTTGGATGGCTGGCTGGCAAGTTGGTTGGTGTTAGTAATATGATATTGTTAAACGATAAACTGAAAACACTCACAGACACACACGCACACCCATTCACACACTTGTAAGAGTCATGCACACAAACAAAACATGTGCGTGTTGTTTACACATAAAATCACATAAAACAACAATAGTTTATTGTTTCTCTATAGAAAGCACTTGCATAATAATAATTCGAATAATGTGTGTTGTGTATTTGTGTGTGTGTGTGCTCTCAATGTGGGGTTTCTCTTTTTCGAAATTCCCATAGTGTAAATAATCCTGCGGCAAATTTCAAATACATCAACCGCAATAACTACTATATTTTTAAATGTGGTTTCATGGGATGGACCGAGCTGACAAATTTATAGCGACAAAATGAACCAAATAAAGATATATTCGGTATTTTGAAGCTTTGGGGCACATTTTCACCCTAATCAGCTGTAAATTGGTATTTTAGGTTATCTAGGTAAAAAAATCTTCGAAAACATCAACTAAAATTGTCCATATTGCTCTTTTTTATATAATGTTACCACCCAAATTTTGTTATTTAGAAAGTTTAAGCTCATCTTACAATCGAATTGGATCTTATTTGATATTTTGGATTCTCATTGGGTAGAAAAATTTCCAAGCAAAAATTATCCATATTCAGCCACTTTTTGGAGTTGGAACCCCCATAGAGCGATACCCCCATTTTTCATCACCAACGTACTGTTTTACGTAATGACTAATTTCTGGAATGATAAATTAGAAAAAATGCTGACCCTATATGAACCAAATATAATGAAGGAGCTGGAGTTTAAGACTATTAGGAAGAAAATTCCTTATCTTTAGTGTTGTAAACCATAATGCACACAAATGTTTAATGGGGATTTTCCTAAAATCTCAAACTGTGGTCCGATATTGATAACGCATGATAGAGTGGAACATGTTTATAAAAAACACACTCAAAACCCCAAAATACGGTAAAATAGGAGGTACCGTTATATGGAGGCTATAATGACCTATATTTATAATTTTTAGTAAAGGGATTTAGTGTCCAATAAGATAGCAAGGTTCCAAATTACAGCGAATTCGGCCAGAAAACGCACTAAAACGCCTAAAAATACTTAAAATTGGTGGGTACGTTTATGTGGAGGCTACCGGAAAATGTGGACCTATATTTATAATTTTAAGTGGAGAAATTTGAACCCATTGTGTCAAATTTTAGCGAATTCGGTTGAAAAGCGCGTTCAAAACCTCAAAATAATGAAAATTGGTGGGTATCGTTATATGTCTAAACGTGAACCGATCAAGCAGATCTTCCATGCTAAAAACTATCTAAATACGTTTAGAGGCTAGAGTGATTACAACCGGTCACAAATATAATATCCTCCATACTATGGTGGAGGGTATACAAAATCTAGTTATAACAAATTTACAATTCAGCATAAGGTGGACATTAAATTGTAACTTGGCATTGTATTCTGGCGAATGAAAAAGTTTTCAAAATTATTACACGGTTTTTATACCCTTCACCACACTGTGGTACAGGGTATTATGATTTAATAGAAGTGGTGCACCAAAGTCCCTATATATCTTTCCATTTGCACGAAATTTGGCATAGCGTACTGACTTGAGTCTAGAATGATGTGTGTAAAATTTCTTGAAAATCGATTCAGATTTAGATATAGCTCCCATGTATAGTTTCGTCCGATTTTATGTGAATGAGTACGGAATTAGGTCCAGACTGATGTATGCAAAGTTTTGTTAAAGTCGGTTCAGATTTAGATATAGCTCCCATATATAGCTTCGTCCGATTTTTTGTGAATAATGCACCAAACTCCCAATATTTGCCCGATTGAGCAAAATTTTGCATAGCGAATGCAATTGAGGAGAAGATGATGTGTTATAAGGTTTGTTGAAATATATATTTTCGTTCGATTTTATGTAAATGATGCATAGAAGGGCCTATGTTTGTTCCATTTACACGAAATTTGGCAGAGGGTAATTAATTGAATATAGAGGGTAATTAATTGAAAAACAAATGATGCATACAACGTTTGCTCAATTAGGTCCACGTTTTTTATATATATCTCCTATATACTTTTACTCGATTTCGTACAAATGGTACACCAATCCAAGTCTGCCCGTTTGACATGCAATTTTTCATTGATTTTAGAATGGTATGTGTATGGGATTTTTCAATTGGTTCAAATATCTGTCTAGATAGCACATTTATTCCATCTCAATGGTCCTCCAAAGACTTTGTGTCTGTTCTATCTACAGGATATTGTAGATATTAACATCTCTTGTATGTACCCAAAGTGGCGAAGTGTATCATATATTCGGCTTCGTCCGACTTTTGAACTTTCCTTACTGATTTCATTGTGAAATCTATGCCATATTTCATCTCAATAGTGCAAATATGGGGTCTAATGTGTACCATTTAAATACAATCGAGCAAAACTGTGTATGAAACGTTATTCTAGACGCAATTCAATACAATAGGCAACATTTCGTCACAATCAGACAATCATTCGGACACCATTCACATAAAATCGGAAAATATATATATGGGTGCTATATCTAAATTTTAACATTCGGCAATCTGTTCTTAATTCATTACACTGTCCAAAATGTTGCCTCAATCGAATTATGTATATCAAGACGATATACATAATTTCACCTCAATTGAATAAATCTTGGGAGTTAAGTGCTCCATTTACATACAATCGAACGAAAATATATATAGGAGCTATTTCTATATATGATTCGATTTCAATGAAAATTAACACACTTTATCGTAGACTGAATTCCACACGTTATGTCAAATTTTATATATCTAATTAAATCCGAATTTCTCCAATAGGTTCATCCTGGGGCCAAATAAGTGAGCTGTGCCAAATTTCATATCATTCGGATCATACATGCTACCTGTACTTTGTTTACAATATAACATGGACAGACAGACGGACAGACGGACGGACATGAATAAATAGACTGAGAAAGTGATTCTTTGGATATTCTCTAAAATCACCGTTGGTTTATCTCTATTATTTTTGCCTGTTACAAACACATTCACATAATACCCTATACCACAGTGTGGTGAAGAGTATGAAAAATCACTTCCGAGGGTATTTTGTCTTTGCAAAAGGGGATGGACTCATAATTACATTTTTGAGCGTATTTAAAGTCGTCGTAAGCAAAGTGTCGATCGATTTTCTAATCTGAATACAATCTAATTTTCCACAGCTTATTTACTTGGCCCAAGGACAGATCCTACTAAAGTTGATGATAATCGGTTCAGATTTAAATATAGCTCACGTATATAGACTCGTCCAATCTCACTATAGTACAACAAAGAATCAATATTTTCCAATTGAGAAGAAATTAAATTAATTAATTAAATTTAATGAGATGTTTTGTTACAATTTATTTAGATATAGCTCCAAAATATTTTATTTCCCATTTGATGTAAATGGGACACCAATACCAAAAGTGTTTCCGATTGATGCTCAATTTTTACACAGCGTACAAAATTGAGCCTAGAGTGACCTGCATTAAGTTTTGTTCAAATAGATTCAGTTTTTTTTTTTTTTTTTTTTTTGACAAAGGCGAAAATGCAAGCCGTAAAAGCGGTCAATTTTGTGCAATTTTGGTTTCGTAGGTTCCGTTCAGGAATTTTTGACGTTAAAGATAGGCCTGTCGTCGAAAATGTCGATAAAATCGAGAAATGCCTTTAAAATGTCAAAAAACCATACAACAAATCGGTGCATATTTGTCCCAAATCGGACATTGCGAAGCAAGTTAAATACAGTCTTATAGTTCATAAAAAAGCAATGGATTTCTTTTTCTTTTTTAATATTTTTGTAATATTTCATATAATGGGTATACCGATATTGTTATGTTTGCTCCAGGGTCAACTAAAGATGCTAGATATGTCCAATCGTCATATTATTGGCCTTTTGAATCAAAACTTTAATAGTTTTTATAAAATTTTAGAAATATGTTAGATTTTAATTCCTTTTTCGAAGTAGCTGTTTGTAATTATAATTAACTAGCGGTTCCGGCAAACGATGTCTTGTATAGCAATATTGTTGATGTATAATTCACATAACGATAACCCTATATTAAGTTAGTTTTTTCTACCCTACACGATTTGAGAAAGTGCTCTGAAATTTGCACATTGAAATGGTGTGGCATTGAAAATGTTCAATATTAGTTCACTATTTATTCTCTCTACTTAAAATTATCAATATTGGCCCAAGTATCCGGGTAACCCCCTAATATTCGGTATTTTACTGTAATTTTATATTTGGGATGATCATTGAGTATAAATAATGTCA